GCCAGGGTTAATCCCAAAGTCCTCTACAGCTACATAAGACAGAGCACGCGGAACAAAGACCCCATCCCACTGCTGCGAACAGCCGAGAGAATGGAAATCTCCGATGACAAGGATAAGGCTGAACACCTCTCTCAGTTTTTTCCGGTCCGTTGTGACAAGTGAACCTGATTTTCTCTCCCCCATTTGTGAAGACGAAGAAAAGCCTACCCTTGAAGCCGTATTTCTCACCGAAGTAATTGTTTAGAACGAGTTACTTAATCTGAAAGAATCGACCTCCCCAGGCCCTGATGCAATCTCCGCCAAGCTGCTGAAGGAGCTAGCTCCCGAAATGTCCAAGCCTCTAGCCTTGATCTTACAAACGTCATTTCTTACTGGATGCCTGCCCTCTGACTGGAAGTCCGCTACCATCACTCCGCTTTTTAAGAGCGGAAGTCGTGTTTCTGCGAATAACTACAGGCCAGTGCTCGCTGACTCCGTCCTTAAAGAAGGAAGTTAACAAGCAGAGATGTTGTTAAAAGGTCCTCACAGTCAAGGCACGGTCTTTCTCCGATAAGTACCAGATTATCGGGCTGTTTATTTGACAAAACAAAGCCTCTATGGAAAATTGCGGTGGATCCGCAAGGCAGTTTAAATGCCCGTGCTACTCCCTCGTCGTCATCCAACAGCATTGGGCACGTTGGTACCTCAGGCAGGCGTCTTTCAGAAAAGCGCTTGAAAACCTGCGCGGCTACGTTAGTAGGCCCTTTTATACTGCTGCGGACACTTTGTAAAAAGAACTCGAAAGGAAATGCCGAGAAATTATCCAACACTCCAAACCGAGACACATCGTCATACAGGTGAAGCAGACAATGGACATTGTAAATAATATCGGAGGGACTATACAAGGTGGGGAAATTAACAACAAGTCGATTTAACAGAAGCCGGCCGTATTCTCCCCAGGATGTATGCAATATGGGATGACAGAATATGTGCACTGCGAGAGAAAACTGTAAAAAGTGTTGGTGCCGAACTTCGCTTAAAGCGGAGGACAAAACGACAAGTCATATGTACAGTAGAAATTGCCTGTATTCGACAGCCTTCCAAAACTCCAGACAATCGGGTATTCTACATTTACGTGAAAACTCGGCCGAAAAACATTGGCTGCACATCTTAAAATTCCTGCCACCGTGCGAGCTGATCTATGGGGTCTTTGATAGGTTGCAACCATTGGAGCGCTCGATGGTCAGTGAGGAGGATAAAATGGCGACCAATGAGTAGGTGCTTAAACTGGCGGATGAATGTTATGATGGCTAAAAGTTCCCTGCGGAAGGTACAGAAGTTCCGTCGGGGCTTGGTCAAAGTGTTGCTCGCGGAACATATCGGGTGTTCGATCCCCTTATCATCCGCTTGAGACAGGACTGCTTCACCTGGGTATTTTGGTACCTCAGGCAGGCGTCTTTCAGAAATGCGCTTGAAAACCTGCACGGCTACGTTATTTGGCCCTTTTATACTCTTACGGACACTTTGTAAAAAGGACTCGAAAACAGCAGTAAAGAAATATTAACGGTATGGGACATGTACTTTTTCCTCATCCCCCTACCATATTCGTCCGGCTCGGAGCCAGAAAGGTTGTCCGATAGCACTTCTTTTCGGACCAGCTGTCTGGCCTTCAGCAGCGTCAGATTACTTTTTAGTAGCCTCACAGCGTACACCTTGGTGCCGTCTGGTGGCTGCCTTTTCTTATTCAGCAGGACAGCCCGCTATTTGTGATGTTTCTAGGCCACATAACGTTGCCAACGTCGTAAAACCAGGCTGCAGCCACCACGGCCACAGCCTTGTCATTTATGAACTCAACAACGGAATACATCTACAGGGAAGTGTATATCCTCAAATAAACAATGTAAACAAGAGTCACAGCGCACGCACAGTGTGCAGCAAGGGAATCAGAAAAAAACGACCGTCAATATCGAAGGGAACAAAAAGACAGGGCCTATGTACGGTAGAAATTGCCTGTATTCGACAGTCTTCCAAAACTCCAGACAATCGAGTGTTCTACATTTAGGTGAAAACTCGGCCAGCGAACATCTGCTGCACATCTTAATAGGCGCATTCAATGAGCTATACAAGGTGGGCCTGGGGGTCTTTCCACCGACAGTAGGTTTATTAACTTAATTGCAATCTTAATCTCACAGTGCGCGTTTCAAGTGCAGTAAAGCTTTTTATCTTGTTTTCTACCTATCAATGAAAGCAATCATGAAGCGCAATTATTATGGCTTTGATCGGAGCACAATTTACAAGCGGATTGCGTGTGAGAAGAAGGCATATTATGCGCGGATTGGGGGGTCCCTCCGTTCCCTCTACGTCGTCGGTGGTAGACCAACCACCGGATTTAGAAATGCCCGAACTAGTCACAGAAGTTTACACTGGTAGTCATCTTACTGCGTTACTGACTAGCAAGTTAAGAACCAGTAGACATAAGCGAGGACGCGGTCGCAGGCAAATGCTTTCTGGTGGATTTACGGGAATTCTGCTTGGAGGCACAAATGCCACTATCCACAACAAAGAAGTTGTTTCGGATGCTGCAGCCCTACCACCCAGAAGTGCCCAAAGACCCAAGGACGCTATTGAAAACGCCTCGGACCTGCATTAGCAAGCCCCTGAGCAAAGGCAACTATGTTCATTTAGGTCTTCAGCGCGGTCTGCTGGTTCACCTACACAGTCTGCCAGAAACAACCGTTCCTGAAATGCCCGTCCAACTGCATATCGACGGAATGAAGATATTCAAGGGGTCTAGTCAGGGCCTGTGACCGATTATTGCTCGCGTTCGTCATCCAGTTGTTGGTCAGCCCTTCACTGTAGGAGTGTTCCCCGGTCCCGGCAAGCCCGATCCGTTGGATGACTTCCTGGGCGACTGTGTTGGCGAGCTGAAAGACCTCCAGGCCAGTGGTCTGCGCATTCCACATACGCAAAAGAGCGTAAAGGTGATCTTAGACAATGTTATCTACGACACCCCTGCCCGATGTTTTGTGCGGCAAGTTAAAGCTCACAATGGCTATTACGGGTGTGACATGTATGTTGTTTCGTGCCTATAACTAAAACCACCGCAGGTGTTCCCATATGGGCAAACGTATTGCAAACCGCATGACGTTTCCAGTATGCAGTGGGCGTCTGCGTGACGACAGGTCATTCAGGTTGCCAAGACAGGAACCGCACCACAAGGGCAAGTCTCCGTTCGAGGATTTGCCCGTCGATATGGTGACCTCCTTCCCACTCGACTATATGCACCTGGTTTGCCTGGGCGTCATGCGGACGTTACTGCATATTTGACATCTGGGCTCCAGCAGGCACTCTGACTCATTGAATGAGTCTAGTAAGATGTGCAGCCAATGATTGCCGGCCGAGTTTTCGCAGAACATTCGATTGTCTAGAGTTTTGGAAGGCTGTCGAATACAGGCAATTTCTACTGTACATAGGCCCCGTCGTTTTGTCCTCCGCCTTAAGCGAAGCCCGGTATCAACACTTTTTTTAGAGTTTTCCCTCGCAGTGCACATATTCTGCCATCCCATATTGCATACATCCTGCGGAGAATACGGCCGGCTTCTGTTAAATCGCTTTGTTGTTAATTTCCCCACCTTGTATAGTCCCTCCGATATTATTTACAATGTCCGTTGTCTGCTTCACCTGTATGACGATGTGTCTCGGTTTGGCGTGTTGGATAATTTCTCCGCATTTCCTTTCGAGTCCTTTTTACAAAGTGTCCGCAGCAGTATAAAAGGGCCTACTAACGTAGCCGCGCAGGTTTTCAAGCGCTTTTCTGAAAGACGCTTGCCTGAGGTACCAACATGCCCAATGCTGTTAGACGACGACGAGGGAGTAGCACGGGCATTTAAACTGCCTCGCGGATCCACCGCAATTTTCCATAGAGACTTTGTTTTGTCAAATAAACAGCCCGATAATGTGGTACTTATCGGAAATAGACCGTGCCTGCTGACATCAGTGTCGGATACCGGCATAACTTACGGCCCGTTCCTTGACTGTGAGGACCTTTTTACAACATCCCTTCCCTCATCCTTCTTGTATATGTTTAAAGCCTCCCGTTTATCAGACATTCCTTCAACTGCTGCCCTCTCAGACATCATTTGTAAATATGCTCCCTTTGATATTGACGGTCGTTTTTTTCTAATTCCGTTACTGCACACTGTGCGTGCGCGGTGACTCTTGTTTACATTGTTCATTTGAGGATATAAATTTCCCTGTAGATGTATTCGGTTGTCGAATTCATAAATGACAAGACTGTGGCCGTGGTGGCTGCAGCCTGGTTTTGCGACGTGGGCAGCGTTATGTGGCCTATGAACCACAAAGAGCGGGCCGTCCTGCTGAATAATAACAGGCGGCCACCAGACGGCACCAAGGTGTACGCTGTGAGGCTACTAAAAAGTAACCTGACACTGCTGAAGGCCAGACAGCTGGTCCGGAAAGCAGAGCTGTCGGACAATCTTTCTAGCTCTGAGCCGGGCGAATTAGGCAGAGGAATGAGGAGAAAGTACATGTCCCATACTGTTAATATTTCTTTGCAGGTATGTCCGCAGGCAGACGTCGGATTCAGACGATGATGACGAACCACTTTATCGTCCGAGACAGCTACTTGGTTGGCCAACACCAGCACGAATATTACAGTAAGCATAATTATCGTTAATTATTCGTACGCCAGGAATGGACGAACAGATGCCCCACCTCTTCTCTCAGTCGAGTCACCCTACGCCATGTACTTCATATCGGTAACTGCGTTTTAGTAATTATTACCGAAGGTTGTCTAGGGAAATGCCGGCACCTGCGCCAGTGCCTGCTACCCAACCAGCAGGCGCAGAGTGACACGAATGACGTAAACTTTCGGTTAGCGTACCTCGAGTAAGACTGTTGACAATCTCATTGACAATCTGTTAGAAACAAAGTCGATTTCCTGGCCGAGCAAATGGTCGCCCTCAACAACAGTGTGCGGAAACTGCAGGCGACAATGACTGATGCTGTCAGTGCATTACAGGAGTGCCACTGCTGCCGACGTCGGGCCCTCTCGTCTGCATTTGCCACCGTGCACAGCCGAAGCCTACGAAGACTTCGTTCGTCGGCTAACTACTGAGGCGGAATTGGCAGACAAGGCGGTATGTGTATATTTGTTTGACTGTTCTCAGATCAGACAGCTGGCCGTGGTGGGAGGGCGGAGTGAAAAAGACTTTGTCAGAAATCTTCTGACTGCTCTCATTGGTCCGCCGCTTTGTTACACCTTCTGCTGGAGGGGCGCATCCAAGGAGAAGCGGTCGTTCCTTGCCTGCCCGTTATTTAGCATCCTCAACGGTAGGTCTACTTTTGCTTATTGGCACATACAGATGCCATCGGCCAAAACCCCGTTTTAGCAACTGCAACAGGGAGGTACTTCGACTTACGGCCATTAATTGGTTCCATGGGTCGAAGGACCGTTATGGAGGACGATCGAGACGCAGGCGCAATATTCACACAGTACGACATTTTGCTTTGAATTACTGCCTAAATGTGTTCAGTTTCAAGGAGTCCCCACTGATGACCTCGCATGCCCACAACTCTCCCCTCCGAAGCACACGTAAGTTAACTGAAAAAGACTGCTATTAACACACTTTATGTTATTTCCCTCTTTACAATAATTATAATGATAGTATGTATTTCGAAAGTATGTATACATACTAGTATGTATACATACTAGTATGTATGAATTAACAGTGTACTTTGCAATAGTAATTATTATATTGTAATAACTATTGCAAAGTACATTGTTAATTAACTCGATGATGTCTGCTTGAGGTCTGACGTTCGCAGAAGTAGTAAATCCGCCTACCTATCTCTTGAGTTCGAAAAGTGAGACCTAGCTCATTTTACCCGGCCCTCGTTGACCGGTTTGGGGTCTGCGTCGGACCCGCATTTTACTGTGATCAGTGCCGCGCCCGCCCTGGTTGACTGCGTAGATAATTAGCGTCCCTAATTACTTCGCGCCGTCGCTGCCTCTTGTCAAATTGGTTCGTAAAACCGAATACGGGCAAATAAATGAATTTGGCAAAGGACATCCGGGCTTCTCTGCATCAGCCCTGAGGTAAATTAGGGTCATGTACATAGAACTATGTGCGTGAATTTCCAGTGCCTGGGGACGGGCAGACGAATTCACTACTCGGAACGCCGGACCCGCGTCTGGCCTGCACCGAAGGAAGCCTCCTTATGACACGCCACCTAGGAATTGCATTTCTCCTACTATTGACATTATTGATTAGTTCAAGGACAAGAGCATTTCCCATGTTTTACCACAGTTCTTTTTGTTACAGGAACCGCCCATAACCAGTGGAAGCCCTTTAATATCCATCGGAGAACTGCAT